CACAATTTAACAAAATTGTAAAATAATTATATTATTATAATAAAATAATTATTAGAAAATAAAATTGCTTTAGTAGAAACTGTAGGTAAGAATGAACGAGATTTGTCGGAAATTCTGACGAAAGTACGAAACCGGTGTCAATATTCTTCGGAATGTTTATTTACAGAAAAGGTAACATTAGTATCTTACGTTCCAAAACCGCGAAAGTGTGTAATATTAACATTAAAAGTGTGTATTGCATTTCATTTATGCATTATCAAAGCATGATTTTTCACAATACCAGTTTTCATTGTACAATCCCCTTAGAGATATGCGATCTCGAAGTTGTTAGTTTTAAAATCTGAAATTTTTAAACTAGAATTGAAAGTTACTTTTTGGTTTAGTATCGAACTATAATTCTTTTCTTTCAGTGTTGGTAACTATCTGACATGCTCTAAATTAATCCTATATTCTGATTTTATTCCTTTATTTCACTTTTTACAGCTGTGACAGTGGAGAATACACAAGACCTATATATGTTTTTTCTTCTCCTAAGGAAATAGTTATGTATCAAGTGAGATCAAACGGCAATTTTTTTGTTAAATAAACTTTCAAGGTTCCTGAAGAAAGGCCTGTTGCATTTTGTTGCGATAATTTATAATATTATGAGTTATTGTTATTTCTTTGCCGTCCGCACCGTTTATGGGGTGGGGGTCAGTTTTAGGTATTGTAGTGTCTCGTACCCCGTGATTCGTTTCATGGAATTTCACGGGGCCCTAAGACCCGTTTACGTATCTTTGCAACGACGTAGTCAGAAGCTGGGCGGTTGAGAAATTAATCTCTCCAGCCTGATTGATATTAAGATGTCGATACTTCGCTTTCAAGATGTTAGGGCTTGCGGTTGATCTTTCGATCGTTCAAGCGTTACCGGTTTTTGCACGCGTGTGCCGACTAATGGTCTAAGGCTACGAAGGACCAGTTTCTTTTTGTGTTCTATGTTCTAAACTAATTCGAGGTCTAGAGCCTACTCTGCGAGGTGCGAAGTCTTTCTGCCGGAGTCTCTACGGTTTCCCTCGAAGAAGACTCCTATTTTCCCAAAAACACCCTGATTGGTGATTTTTCCTTTTCTAAATCACTAATCAGTCTACTCCGGTGCATCGTAACCTCCCTCCATTTCGCCCTTAGCGCGTTATCTTAGGGTGGGGTAAACAACGACCGGAGAAAGTGTTCGGTGGACGGATGCGTGGGAATCCTGTGGAATCTCCGCTTTTCTAGACTTTGTTAAAGTCAAGTGGCCCATAGACGTTGGCAAAAGTCGTGGCCACTTTTCTATTTTCCGTTCGGAGACTCCAGGATTTATGGCAGGGTCTGGTCCTAGGGACTAAGTGTCGCAGGCAACGCAATAAACACTTGTGGTGTTTTGAGGAAACGATATTTGCCTGCGACGGCGACCACTTGACTCGCTGCCATAAATCCGGCTACAGGATGCGCCTTAACACAAGATATAGACTGTGTTTTTCCGAATAATTTTGTGAGCGTATTTGTTTATTACAGTACTTTCGATCAATACGTGTGTCGTCGCTTTTATCAATTACGGTTGTCGGCGATTCGTCAGTCGTTGTATGTTTGGTGTGGATATTTGTTTTCCTATTGACGTCTGTAAAGTCAATAGAGTGTCTTGAATGGTGTCGTCTTAGGAGGTGGAATTTATCAGTAATAAATTCCATGTGTGAGAGGAGAAAAACGAGGTGGAAAAGGAAGAAGAATATAATTAATTAATATTTTATAATAAATATTAAAAACAATTAAAATACCTAGCATTTTTTTTACATTCTTATACTTACAGGTATTTATCATCATTTTTATATTTGATCAAAATTATTTTTATATTCAATATTTAACATAAAAAAAGTATATTATCATTTTAGAGTTATATTATTGCAATTTAGTACGGCAATTTATCTTAGATTTAAAAATATTACTTTTGGCCAGGATTTCGGCGAAATCCGCCACTGTGCGCCGGGTATCTGAATACTCGGAAAGATACTTGGGTAAATGAAAAATACCCAGGTATGTTCTACCCGTGTTACTCATTGTATTCGGGTAATTTATGTTTTTGTGTGAGATAATGAAACAATTAATTATTTTAGATTAGATATCTTTATTTTTGTACAAAAATAACAACAAATCAACATTCTCAGGTACATAGTAGAGTGTTACGCTTCAAGCTAGTAATATTTCCAGCTGTTAAAAATAAACGTTCAGAACTGACAGGCGTTGCAGGTACATACATATGGTCGTGGCTTCGCGTGTGTGGGTCGTCGGTCCGGGTGGGTGGCACGATGAAATATCTCGGCCTCCACCTGGACAGCCGCTGGCGCTTCGAAGAGCACTTCGACCGATTAGTCCCCCGAGTGGAAAGGGCGGCGGCCGCGTTGGGCCGCCTCCTGCCAAATCTCGGGGGACCTAACGAGTGGGTTCGCCGCCTCTACGAGGGCGTCATGCGGAGTATGACCCTTTACGGGTCACAGGTGTGGGCGGACGACCTGATGGCCAGTAGACGGAACAAAACCAAGCTCCGCCGACTGCAGAGGACAATGGCCATCAGGATCGCCCGGGGATTCCGCACGATCTCCCACGAGACGGCGATGGCGCTGGCGGGACTCGCCCCGTTCGAGCTCCTGGCGGAGAGGGACGCCCAAGTGTATGGACATCTCCGCGAACTCCGCTGGGGCGGGGCGATCCCGTCGGCGTCAGAGGTCGAGGTGCTGAGGCGCCAGTCCGACGGGGCGCGCTGGCCAAATGTAAAGACCACTTGTCAGGGATGGCAAGCCAGCGCGCCGTGAGGGCGGTTCACCCTTCTTTCGACGAATGGGTGGACCGCGGCAAGGGACAGCTCACATACCAGGTCACCCAGGTGCTCACCGGACACCTATGTTTCGGGGAGTAACTGGCCCGGATCGGAAAGGAGGTGGACCACGGGGAGGGGAACATTGCGAGGGAGGACGCCAGGACTCGGCGCAACACACCCTCGCGGAGTGTTCCACGTGGGAGATGGAGCGCCGAGTCCTGGTGGGAGAGATCGGCCGGCACCTCTCGCCGCCGGCCCTAGTCAGGGCCATGTTGGCGGGCGAGGGGTCCTGGGAAGCGGTGGCCTCCTTCTGTGAGCAGGTCATGCTCCGGAAGGAGGACGCCGAGAGAGAGAGGGAAGCAACCAGCCACCCCTCTAGGAGAAATCGGGGGGCGGGGAGGCGAGATCCCCGCCCTCCGGACTAGAGGAAACAGGGGTCGCGACTCCCCAGGGAAGGGGCGGCACAGGGCGTGGTCCCGCGGCGCCGCCGAGCCTACGGGCGGAGGAATGGGGTGGGGGCGGTGGTGTTGACCGCCTCCTCCCCCGAGGTCGGGGCGCAAGCCAAGGCGCGGGGAGAGCTGCGGACGTCATACAAAGTTCCCGCG